CCAAAAATGTAGTATATTGCAGCTTACCAGTGATTTAGATATGGTGGCTGCATTTGTTTTCATGATAACCACCATCTCACAGATCCAATCTCCCTGCATCTCCAGACTAAGGGCAAGCACCAGTGAGGATCTATGGAGCCAGAGAATGTGCAACAGTGGGATGCTTCAGACAAGCCAATTTATTTTAGCCCAAGGCTGACAGACTATAGAATTCTTTAAGACCTGCAACCTTGTTTGAGTAAATCTTACAATTCATTATGCATTCGTGTTACCTTTTATTTATTCTAAAGTTGGGTATGATAGATAGATAGATAGATAGATAGATAGACCATTAAGGAGCAATTCAAACCTAGATCCAAGGAGGTATCTTCCCCCTTGGCCATTTGTCTTCTAGATTTTGTCCAGCTCTTATTAGTGGCTCTAGCTATGTGGAGGTCTACTAAGTTTGAGGTTCTGTATTTGTCCCTAATTTTAAGCTGGTTATTCTATCTGTTCAGGCTCTGCTGCATGTAGAAATTCTTCAGCAACATAAGTTGTTAGGACGTGCATATTCTTTAGATTATCCATACAAGCATGTCAGTTTGGAAGCTGTTGTGGAATTAATATATTTAGGAATGTGGCTCTAGTTAAAGTGACACTAAACACTGGAGTTAAATCTTAAAACACATTCAAGTCCCTTAACCAATAACAACAATGTATCTTATCTCTGAATTGGCGCTGACACTGTCCTTCCTTCTGGAGGGGGGCTACTTTTGTTCCCCGTTGTCCCTGTGTGTGTTGTAAAGTAGTCACCGCTCCAAGCTCGCTCCTGTGATTGACTACAATCTCAATACATATTAGCAAGCTAAACATGAGATTGTAGTCCATCCCGGGAGTGAGCTTGGAGCGGTGACTACTTTACAACACACACAGGGACCATGGGGAACACAAGTAGCCCCCCTCCAGAAGGAAGGGCAGTGTCAGCACCACTTCAGAGAGGATTTGAGGATCTACAGCCGAGTGATACACAAATAAGATACATTTTTGTTAATAGTTAAGGTACTTGAATGTATTTCTAAGGTTTAATTCCTGAGTTTAGTGTCACCTTTAAGGCATGTTAACACTATATCCGGACCAGAACAGTTTTTGTCCACACCTGAAATTCATCCCAATGCATTCCTATTGTATTTCTGGGCTCTGCTTACACCAGTGCAGTCCGTTCTGACTTGGGGGGGAAAAAATGCTGCATGCACTATTTTTCTGGTCTAGAGCACACTGAAATGCATGTAAACATATCAAAAGTACATGTAAACGCACTGGACTGCACCTGAAAACCCATTTTAAGCTAAAAAAAAGTACCGGAACGTGGCAAAAAACACACTGCACTGCGTTTGCAGATCTGGTCTGGACATGGTGTGAACATAGCCTGATGGCGAATACTTTAGTGATCTGGCTGCTGGCCAGTTGCATCACATGCTGGCCTCTCTCCACTGTCGGGGACTCGAGTGCTTCTAGTTATGCCAAACTTCCACACCAGTTACAACAATCTAATTGTGTAACACTTCCCGATAGTCCATAAACTAGAATAAACAGCAATAACAAATATTCACGAAGGGAGTCGTTCATCTGGAGTGTTCAAGACATATAAGGAAATGGTGGTCAATTCAACCTGTTGGTACCCAGTCAAAGATGAAGTCTGGTGGAGTTACCCTTTTAGTAGCAGGGGTAGGGGGTACATCCATATAAAGAAATCATTATTCTAGCTGGTTGGAAGCGGTGTCCTCCTGAATCTTCCCGATGGCGGATGTAGCGCAAAGGCTTTATTTTTCTGATTTTGAGAAGACCGGAAATCATACACCCTCTCCATGTGATTTTTTTTTCCTGCTCAACTTTGCGTTGCATGGCCTTACTGGCTCATCTCTGCTGTGCTCTTCTCTCTGCATTGCTTCCTTAATGCGCTTGCACGCAGTTTTGCATTTACATCAATTTAGTGTGGTCCTGTGCACTGTTCTCCGATATGTACACAGTTATTTACAGACGCAGGCAGAATAGAACAACGTTAAAGTGAATATGCCATACTAAAGCTGAGTACCACAAAGTGTCTTATCTTTGCTGCCCAGAAAAACCCTCCTCTGTGCACCTCTATGACATTAGCCTAAGCTCAGATCCTGCCCAGCTATCATCCCCCTGTCCAGTAACAGCATTCCAGTGGCTATTAAGGGCACTCTTACTTTGCAATGGCCTTTTGGAGTCGGTACTTAGGCCAGAATGTAAAGAAGTCAAGTTCCTAATAAAGTGATAATAAATTTGGCGCTCAGGTGACATTTTTATGGCTGATTTAAGGTAATTGCATGCAACTATAGTGCTTGCTCCTATGTAGAACTTTTTAAATGTTAGAATGGCTGACAGGTTTACTTTAATCTTACTTATCCATTAATGAGTCAACGTTATATGGGGTTTGTGTATTTGTGGCAGCAGCACACGACATTGCTGCATTGACTTGATGTGGCAGCTCTAAAGTTTGCTGGTTATGGATCGCTACAGTGACTGCATGTTTTAATACCACTCTCTGGCCGGTTACCAGCCATATGAAAATCGTACAGCTACACAAATTAATGTTTGTGTTCTCAAAGTATTTCATATGTAAGAAGTTATTCAGTTCAGTTAAGCAGTGAACACTAATGGCCTGCGCTTAAAGGAGAACTATGAGTTGAATGATTTTCACTCAGCCTCATAGTTCGAGCCGACGTGTGACAATGAGACTGTCCCAGGTCGGCTCAATAGATCGAGAAGTGAGCGCACACATACCGTCACTTGCACACTTCTCGATCATCTCCCTGCAAAGAGCCGTGACTGTCATGGCTCCCTGCAGGGATTCTTCCGGCTCCTATCCTCCAGCGTTGACTGGCGGAACGGACGGGGGAGGGGGCGGGTACAGCGTGCTCTGCCTGTGGATAGGCAGAGCCAGCTGTCAATCACGCAGCTGGGTGGATCTCGACAGTAATGTCGGGATCCGTCCCAGCTACGGCGGTCTCGGTGTACCGCGAGCTGCAGCTTGCGGTATACTAAGCTTTGGCTCACGGGAGGAGGCTAGTATATGTCCTCCCGTGACCCTTAGGAGAACTATGGGGAAAAACACTTACCCCATAGTTCTCCTTTTTAATGGGCTTTTGTAAACTTCAAAACTGCTTCACTCCCCATACAAGTCTATAGGAATGCAAAAGCAGGTGAAGCAGGTCAGGTTTTCCTGCAATTAATCTGAATGATCTCAAAAGCATCTCCAAATTATGTCAAAATGAAGCTCAATTTACTTATCGACCTCCAAGGCCCCAATATCTCTGCTGCTGCAACCTCCTTTTAACAGCAGCATTTATGGATGCGGCCAATTTAAGATGACCAGTTTAAAGATCTTTCCAATCACAGCTGATCAACCAATCAAGATAAGCAGTTGGTGTCTTTTCCCTGCTCCTGCCCCCCAAAGCGTAAACATAAGAGACTCAAGTGTGAGAAGGTTAATGCACAAAGCCAGAAAGTTCTCTTCCTAGGTCAGTTTGTGCCTGCACACCTTCGTCATTTGAAGTCTGGGCTTGTTAGCATTTGTTTGCTGTGTTGCCCACCCTCAGTTGAACTGTTGTTGGACATCCCGAAGGTTAAAAACTTCCTGTGTCCTTCGATGGACGTGAAAGAAATAGGATCTTTTTGTATTCACCATTAAATATTTGGAGATGCAGACCCCATCGCTCTGAGGTGATTTTCACTCAACCTCATAGTTCGAGCCGACGTGTGACAATGAAACTGTCGCACGTCGGTTAAATAGATCGGGAAGTGAGCGAGCACATACCGTCGCTCGCTCACTTCTCGATCATGTCCCTGCAGAGAGCCGTGACTGTCACTCATGGCTCCCTGCAGGGATTCCCCCCTCCCTGCTCCGATCCTCCATCGCTGACTGGAGGAATGAACGGAGGAGGGGGCGGGTACAGTTGGCTCTGCCTCCAGATAGGCAGAGCCAGCTGTCACTCACGCAGCTGGGTGGATCTCGACAGTAATGTGGGGATCCTTCCCAGTTGTGGCAGTCTCAGTATACCGCTGCAACTCACGATATACTGAGCTTTGGGTGACGGGAGGACGCTAGTTTATGTCCTCCCGTGACCCTTAGGAGAACTATGGGGAAAAACACTGACCCCATAGTTCTCCTTTAAAGATCGTACACTGTTCCTTCCAAGTATCAGTCAAGAAATATTACTGAATTGTTATATCACATCTGCATCTAGGCAAAAGGTGCATGCTCTGCACTTATTTACGGTAGATGAGCGCAGTGTTCAGCTTGCAAGCCACAAATAATCCAGAAAACCCATCTGCTAACTTAATGCCACCAGCGATGGAGAGTAATGGATGGCTGGCAGAAATGTGGCTCGTGAGTCACACTAGCTATACATACATTTGGTATCCTGCAGAGTGTACAGGACCTCACCCTGAAGGAAGACAATAACAAGGGCTAATATAGCATGGAGCATGATCACAACTTTCGGTTTGTCTTGCTCCCACAGAGAGCATAAGCATTCATTTTCGATTTGCTGCCAAGCAGATTGCCAATTGAGGGATAGAGAGGGCCAGGAAGTCATTGGTGTCAGTACCACCCTTAGCCTTACATCATTATACAACATAGTGACACCCAGGCACCCTGCACCAGAGGACCATACAGCTGCTGCTTTGCTATTGACATAGTTTAGGCAAGATTTAAGATAAAATTTGGGGGTTTCTTTTAAAGATATTTTAATGGCTACATACGAATACCTTCAATATATAGCAAGTTGTGTGTATGTGCATTTCCTGTCCCAATATTGTGTATAGAAACATGCAGTCATTGTAGAAATTGGAAGATGTTCACCATGCAGTCAGTGCTGTGTGTTAACTGTACACTATCTACACCCATCCCCCATACTGGGTCACATTTTTTTTTTTTAAAGCAGAGAAGTTAGAAATCTAAAGGCGGCAATTTTGTTTGTCATCCACTCCTCCAGCCCCGAGTTCGGAAGTAGTCCGCTGCGAGTTCTGCGGCGAGTTCTTTGAAAACAGAAAGGGCCTGTCGAGCCACGCACGCTCCCACCTGCGCCAGATGGGCGTCACAGAGTGGCATGTCAACGGGTCACCCATCGACACCCTGCGGGAGATCTTGGCTAGTGGGACCCTTCCCAGAACGGGCACCAGAGTCGGAGGCCCCGGCTCGGAGAAGCACCTCCCACATCATCCTCCCGCTTCCCCGTCTGGGTCCCACCCGTACAGCGGGTTGGCTCCGACGATGCAACGCAAGCCTGCTCGGCTGCCTACCTACCCGGCCAGCGAGTGGCCTTCCGATCTCTCACCTTTAAACTTGTGTAAGTGGGCCGCTGACCCGCATCTCTTCATATGCTTGCTCATCCTCTTCATTGCTCCCCATCTTGTCTGTTTCATTCATATATTTAATTCAGACCACTCCTGACTTTCCCGAATAACCCCTTCCCCATTAAGATTCCAAGGCATGACTGGGCGTCAGCTGTGAGCTGGAGAAATTGTGTGCACTTGACTTTGAGGAGCTGTGCTGTGCTGCAATTTTTAAAATGATAAACCCCCATGCTGCTGTGTAACCTGCCATTGTAGACCTTTTGATGCTAGCCCTTTGGCAATTCAGTCATTGACCTAGGACAACTATGCATATAAGGATTTTGATTGTTTGGTATAGAAGACTCCTGTTTTTGTTGTTATAAATGTTTAATCTCTTCCTAAAGCCTTTAACTTGACTACAGGAAATGCTGCACCTCATTTGCTGTAGCTTATGAAACTGAGGCCTTAGTCCTGCATGTTATAGTGATTTTTCTGGGTGCATCTGAACTGATGGGTTTCCTTAGTCTTCAAAGACTGTTGCCTCATGGGGCTGCTTTCGATCTTAAATTAGACCTGTAGAGTGAAGTTCGGAGGCGGCCATTGCTACCCTTTTTCTACAAACGTTAGTTTCCTGATTGTAATTTTGATACATTGGCTACAATGCTTTCAGTCATTGACCCGGGACAAGTTTGCAGATTAATTCTTATTTGCATATTTTTGTTGCAGTTTAGAACATGTTAAAGCAACAGTCAGCGCAGGAGGCAGGCAACTAGCATTTTTAAAATGAGAGCTCCACAGGGGCAGCCTCCATGTTTTGTGATTGGGTCTCTCCTTCTAAAAATGATAGTTACTTGGTTGTCATGCTAATCCATTCACTGACCCAAAAATAAAATACAGTATATGGATTAGGAGCGCCAACTTCCTCTGCCTGGACTGGCTGTGCATGTTTGTTCTGGGTGGGTAACTGAGAAAGAATTGCAACCAGTTAGTTTTAGAAGTAGTACCCTACTTACAGGTTTTGCTTAACGTAACATACTCCTTTTAAATGGGTAGTGTGTCCCAAAAATTAGTGACTATTGGTTGTACTATATTATCGGTTGCATTACCATGTTATTAAACATACAATAAACGTACAACAAGACCTTTTTATGCCTTCCACATATTGGCAAGAAGGCTGTTTTCTTATAGCTGAAACTTCAGTCCCTTGGCGTTTCTGTTGGCGACATTTGTTTATGCAAAAGTTTTCTTGCTATCATTTGACTGCGGCTTGTGATCAAAATTAGGCAAATGTTTACTGCAGTTTGGATTCAAGAAGAGCGCAGTGTATTATGCTAAAATGGATAGCAGCAAGTACACCTTTATAGATTAAGCATTTTGGACTGTTTGCCTTGCTTTCCTTTATTCAACCTTACGTTAAAGGCTTGTTCTCCCCACTTTTGTAGGGGGTAGATGTGTAGTACTGTCGTGCTCCTTACCATCAATGTTTTAAGTCCATCTGGGGGCACCATTGCTTAACATTAGTCAGTAGCTGTGTAATATCTCCTCTTCCTTATCTGGAGACTTTTCTGTGGGCATGCCTGATGTGCTTTGTTAGACGTTGATATTGTTTCATCTTGCATTTCTGTGTGTGATTTCAGGAAAGTTAGTCTACTAACATTTGTATGGTTTCCCCTTCTCCTGCCTTTCTGCTTTTTTTTTTTTTTTCATCATAATGGGCCGACCACTTTGTTGTATTTTTAATATTTAAATTCTCTCCTTTTTAGCTTCGCAGTCAGACCCCACCCGTGATATCCGCTGCGAGTTCTGCAATGAGTTCTTTGAGAACCGCAAGGGACTATCTAGTCATGCACGTTCACATCTCCGCCAGATGGGTGTGACAGAGTGGCATGTGAATGGCTCACCTATTGACACTCTGCGAGAAATCATACGCAAGAGACATCCAGCGACACCACAGCAGCAGGTTTCCAGCATCAAAAAGGAACCCCGTGGGGAGGAAGAGCCACCCAGTCCATCACATAGACTCTCACCTCTTGGTGTTGGGGCATCAATGATGGCTCGAGACCTTCCAGTTTCACCACCTGGGCGCCCTCACAACAGTTTTCTTTCACCAGTACCAACTAAGAGGCCAGCACCCCACGAACCTAGACTTACACAGTCGGAGCCAAAGGGCTATATGAATGCAGAACCAAAGACTTGCAGCCAGCCTAAGTCTTACATACAGGGTGAGAGTAGACCAAAATCCTTTGTTACAGAGGAGGGCCGGCCCAAGACCTTTGTTCTTGTTGATGGGAAGCCAAAACAGTTGTTCCAAAGTGGAGATGGGAGGCCAAAGACCTTTATGCCAGAAGGGAGACCAAAGGGCTTTTTGCCAATTGAAAACAGACCCAAGACATTTGTGCACGGCGAAGGCAAGCCTAAAACCTATTTGCAAAATGATGGAAAGCCCAAGTCTTTTATGCCTGGCGAGAATAGACCTAAACCCTTCTTGCAAGGTGAATCCAAGCCCAAGTCTTTTTCTCCAGATGGCAAGAACAAGGCTTACATCCAGACTGAGCTTCCTTTTAAGGTCAAGATGAAGGCATCTCCAGAGAAGGGAGCCACTAACAGTAAGTAACATTTTTGATGTATGGCTTTGCCATGTGCATAATACATTGTTTATAACGTCCTTCTTTTTCTCTGCCACACTTTTTCTTCTCTGCATTCTGTCCTTTCCTAATTCCACCAGTGGAGGCCGCCTGTGAGCTTTGTGGGTTGATCTTTGAAAATCGGAAGGCTTTAGCCAGCCATGCCAGAGCTCACCTTCGACAATTTGGTGTAACTGAATGGTGTGTCAACGGTTCCCCAATTGAAACCCTACGAGAATGGATGAAGCAGAGACCCCAGAAGGCTGGTGCCTATCTAAGTTATATCCAGGGCCGTCCTTTCTCCAAAAAGTTCAAACGTGCTTTACAAGGTCCAAAACCAGCACCAGAGAAGGAAAGCCCAGCCGCAACCCCTCAAAAGGTGGTTGAGAAAGAACACAGTGCTGTAACACCAAGCTCAGCTGCTGAAAAACTAGCTGAGCCACAGGGACAGAGTAAGTATGACGCACAGGATAGAATAGATGTGGGCATGATTTACTTACATGGGATAGGAGTTTTATAATATCTAAAAATGTATCTCATCTATGTCAACAGAAGTTGAGCGCCGTCACCCTAAGGCACCTGAGGTTCCACCCTCTCAGGATGATACAGTCTCTGAACCACTAGCCAAAAATGAGGAGTCACGACCACCTGCAAGAGTACGTCCTGTGCCTTCTTTGGTACCAAGGCCTCCCCAGACATCATTAGTGAAGTTTGTTGGAAACATTTACACTTTAAAATGCAGGTGAGATGGCTGTGCTTGTTTTACCTTTTGAGCTTCTTATGATGTACTTAAACAGGTTCCAAAAATCAGGCAGTGAAAGCTTATGATGGGGCTCATGTTCTGTTTTCTGAGCAAAACACATCCTACAATTCCCTGCTACAATGTCTGCTTTGCAAAGAACATGCAAAATGTCATTCTCCAGTCTGTTTCTACTGCCCATCTACGGTGGCTGTTACAGTTGGAACATGTCTGTATCTAGACATAGAGGGGATGGTCCCAATACAACAAGTGACCTCAGCTCACACTTTTCTAGCAGTTCTGGGACCATTTGCTCTGTACCTGCAGAGGGTTCTGGAATCTGGCTACCCTATGGTTACAAGATCTATCATCATCAGTCATCCTTGGCTCTGTTCGGTGAGGCTGAGTACCCTACCTTATCAACCAGGGCCTCTACTGCAATCACTCAGGTATTTGCAGCCAAATTCTCAAAGTTTCTTACTTATTCTGACCACAGAGGCTTTCCCCCACAGTCTATTACTGATCTGCCCACTGCCTGAACCCCTTCTCCCCCCCTCGTCACAGTGACTATCTCTGACTTTGGGTCACCTCAGTGTCTTACTGCAAAACCTGTCTTTGAGGAATAACTTTCTTCTGTCATTGACCCAGATTTAAAAGTGACTGTTGTGGCTCTTATTAACATGGTGCACACTACTCTGAATTTAGAGGATCAGCCTGTTATCTCTAGTCTTGGGTCTGTCAGAGCTGCTACAGCTGTAAAAACCTTCACATTGCATCCAATCTTCGTGGTATTCCTCCATGAGTATTGAAAGCACCCTGATGGGTCCTCGACACCCCCCAGAGTGTTTACTGGATTTTTTCCCTTTTTGGAAGGATTTTGCTAAGCGGTGGTCTACACACAATGGATCTGCCAATTACCAAATTTAACAGCAAAACCACTAGGTCAGTAGAGTGTATCCTCACAATCAGGGATTCTACAGGCCCACGCTTAGAATCCCTCTTTAGAACCCAGATCTTATTGACAGGCCCTACTAGTTGACCTCTTCTGGCTGAAAAATGAATCTGCCAAACTGTAATACATATTACAATGGGCTGAATCCCTCCCAAAGGAATTTCTCTACTGCATCAGTTGATCCTTTCCTGATCAAGAGTGTGGAACAGATGGTCTGGGCTATATTCTTCAGCTGTAATGGCCTTCTGGAAGCATTTCAGCTTCAGAAGAGTATTCTTGCCAAAAAGCTGGGATGCAAACAGTGCGTCTTAGGAGCATCTGACCTGCTTCGTCTTCGAAGTACGATGTCTCCTTTTTTTTTTTAATCGGATGCCTTTTTAATAAAGTTTAATTGTATAGCAAGAACAATGACAGAAATACATGGATTTCAGTCATTTTACAATATGAAAAAAATGCGTACAGTATTGCTAATCATCACAGGCATACAATGCACCCCAGATATGATTGTGCCATCAGTAGGCATTGGGGACTAATATATCTTACATTGTGGTCAAATGGAGGCACAGGCCAAAACTCCCACAGGAGCTTAATTCGGAAGGATTCCTATAATCAAGCCACCTATTTCCATATCTGGTAATATTTATCTAGAGTACCCCATGTTGATAAGTAATGTTCTCAAGAAATTAAACAGTCCAGCTCCACAACCCAATCTCCCACCAGAGGTGAGGTTTTAGATACCCATTTTAATAACCTGACTTGTCATGTAGCAAATAAAGCCCTAGACAATGGTGTATGAGGAGGCTAGTGTAGTTCACGATGTCTCTCCAGACCTACCCTTGACCTCATCAAGGATATCTCCTGGAAGTCCGAGCATTTAGCGTAAGAAATCTAGGGAAAGGTAATCAAAGTCCCCTTCCTTTTCTTTATGTGCTCCAGGAGTAGGCACTCCTAGGCCTTTCAAACCTGATTCTCCAGCCACCTACATGACTAGGGTAAGAAGTCTGCTAAACCCTCAAGCATTTTGGTAATGCTTGCAGGCTCTTGGGTAGTTTGCAATACAGGCTTTCAGTTACAGAGAGTGCCCTTTCAGGATTTCAGACCTCACCTTCACTAATTGAGCTCTCTTTAGCTCTGTGCCTTATTCCTCCCTGTCCCACCTACCTCTTCCCTTGAAGTATCCTTGATCGAAAGATCCTTGCTCTAGCTCATGTACTAGTTTGGTCTTAGGAGCTGTATCCCACCTAACTCTGGGCTCCTCCTCAAAGATTGTCTGTAGACTGCTCGAACCAACTTGGTTCTGCAGTAGGGAAATGTACAGCTTCCCCAACCTCATATCACTGTCCCTTGGTCAGCGGGGTTACCTGTTTCTCAGTTGTTGAGGGAGAATTTTAGGTCCAGGGGTCATCCTCGCCAAGGCACTCCTATTTCTCCAGTCTCTCTTTTGAATCTCTCTCAAACTCCTCTTCTGCTGTTGTGAATCATGTTCCAAAGCTGACACAACTGTCTACCCATGAGGAACAGGTAACTCCCGATGTGTTGGTCTAGTTGTCTAAGGTCGTTGAAGATAATACTTCCCACTTTCTGAAATAATTACCTCACAGGATAATTGCCTGAACAGGTCTCCAGATACAGATGTCATTGGACAACATCATGGTACTGGTGTACCTTTACTATCAACAGACAATGGGAGATTGTGCCGTGGAAAGTAGTTTGGGTTCTGACTTGAACATAGCCCTGGCTTCTATGTTCTTGTCATAATGTGGATCTGGAAGGTAGGTTTTTCCAACTATTTGTCTCTGGATATAGGAAAGCAGTCCAGGAACCCAGGTGCTTTTCTGATCCTACAGTGCAGGAGTAGGGTATAGTAGGCAGACTCCCTGGTACCCTGAGCTGTCTGTGTCCTAGTTTCCTGATGCAGGAACTGTCTAGCACCAGCAGGGAATGGTCCAAAAATTCAGTGGAATCTGCTCACCTGGGTCTAGGTTCTGGCTAGTTATCCCCTTACTAGGTGAGTAAGACTCAGCTTCCCTAGGTGGCTTTTGAGCTGCAGGCAGTCCCCAGTTATTGTTCTTGTTGGACCAGTTAGTGGTTGTTTGCAGTTGCCAACCCCTCAATTGTTGGGTTTTTTTTTTCTTTCATGTTCTGACAGTTAATGACTTCCTGTGTCCATCATTTGATGAGAGAACACAGGATTCATAGAACAATCCTTTTCTTGGAGTCAAATGAAGGACACGGGTCCTGCCCCTCTTTGTTTATAATCACGCCTTTGGTACTCCCTGATATAAACTAAGGTATGTTCAGAGTAGGAGTGGGTTATCCTAGACTGGCCTACTATTATTTTTTTTTGCACCAGTGTTCATTCATCCTATTGGTGGCAGTATAACCCATCATTTAATGGCTTCCTGTGTTCCTCAATGGACTGCAAGAAAGGAATTTTACGGTGAGTACAAATAGCCAATTTTTGATCATGTTCCACCCAGTTTTATTGCTTGGAACATGTGTAATTGAATGAAAGCAACATTTATACTAAGTGTATGGCCAGCATTGTGGTATGAAGAGTCCTAATGTGTTGGTTTTCCACTGTTCAATGGGTTCATTAAGGCTCTTTTTTTCTCTCCTTTACCAGGTTCTGTGACATTCAATTCCAAGGTCCGCTTTCCATCCAGCAGCAGTGGGTCCGTCACCTGCAGCATCACATATTGCAAATGAACTTTTCAAAGTTCCCCAGCCCACCTCATGATGTATCATCCCAGGAGCAGCCAGAGGCTGTCAAGTCCCAATAAGCCAACTTCCCAATGACTTGGATGAGTTTTCTGCATTTTCTACATCGGGTGAAGGCAAGCCACGGATTTTTGAAAGACTTATAGACAGTAGCTTGGAATTTCTTAACAAAATCCTGCGCTGTGTCTGAAAGATAAGATACCCCAAAGCCTTTTAGATGAAACCGATGTTGTCTGGGTATACAGAAAGGGAAAAATCGGCCACAAGGCCTCAGCAACTTTCAATAGACTGGACTTGCAATAATTGGAGTGATCTCTGTGGATGGAGGAGAGGTGGAGTTATGGGAGACATCAGCGACATGTTTTGAAGATTTTAATAACTGTTAAATGCTGGCTAATTCTGTATGATGGGTCTGCAGATGTAGATTGCTGTGGAAGGTGATAAGAATGGATATGGGAACAATAAAGATGTGAGATGGGTACTTTTTTGGATGTGACAGGTTGGTGTTTCACTGTCCCTTTTATAAAAGGTCATTTCTAGTGACCTGTGCTCTTGCTGCTAACACAAAGCAGATTTCTGTTCTATCAAGTCTCTCACTGCAATGTCTTTATTCTACAATGGTGCTTAGTCTTTATTCCCCTTCAAAGCCCATCACAAACATCACATTTAAATATCCTTCTCTCTGCTTCTGTAGGTTTCTTCCGTTGGCCTTGGAGCTTAAACTCAACATGCGGCCAATGCTTTATTTTTTCTTCTTTCTACGAGAACATGATAGAGCCTCCAACAATCACAGGGATACTTTTTTTTAGAGCTGATGTGTACTCCCAGCCAGGGAGATCTCCCTACCTTGGCACCCACCTCTGTTCCTTGCTGCAGCCATACTATCAACCAGACCAGGCAGTTGGACTTCTCTTTGTCTCCATTCTCTTCGTGTAAGCTTTAGATGGGTGCAACTGGTTCAACTTACAAGATTTGACTTCTGTTCTCCTCATTATGAACAGGGAATGTGGTGGATAAATCTTCGCACTGGAGTACCATCTAGTAGGAAGAGGCTTGTGGCTTCTTTCTAAGGTATCTGCATCTGCCCAAAGCTATAAGATCGGCTTAGTTTTTGAAATGTTGGTCAGCAGCAGGCTCACCGGAAGTGTTATTAGATGACCTCTCCTACTTTAGTGATGGCAATGAACCCATGGCTGTGAGGGATTCATTAGGTGCCAACTTAAAAACACAGTGGACACCTTCATTTTGTATGGGGACACACATTTCAGCCACGTTTCTTCATTTGTTTTTGAGGAATTGCATATCTTTGGTGACCTTATGATACACCTTATGAAATGTAAAACCGCTTCCCTCCACAGCCCAGCCACATTGCCTAATGCCGGGGGTTGCCAAGAGGGTCGAGTCAGGGGCCTTTATGTATATAATATATACGTTGTATTAATGTGGTTGTATTATCTATAACAGTGTATTAGAGAGACGTGCCCCTAACAGGAATTGGGCGCGGCTCCTAAAAATATCTCCCACTTCAGTGTTGAGGTGTTTTATTTATTTAATAACTTTAGGACTAGTCAATTGACCCCTCCAAACAAGGCATACTGGCATACCTCCTTTATTCTTTACCTAGCTTACCATTTCCTTCCTTTTTACTGAGGGGCTATGTGACGTATGGATGCAATAGTATGGGCTATGTAACGGTGCAGGGTAGCGGTGTGCATCACTGTTCTTCTCTTTTTTAAATGAGCCCGGTGGTCTTCCACTGTAAGGTACCTCAGTTCTTTTCACTGGAAGCCATGAACTCATTATTTTCTACTCCCTTACTGCAGAAAAGTCCACCCTTTCACCCTCTTGTGAAATATTGTGTCATATAACTGTGGGGAGCGGCAGCCACTTGCACATACATATTTAGGCTTAGCGTCTACCAATACGGTTTAGCTAGCCATTCGGTATTGTTATCTTGTCCACGATTTCTGGCCCTGTAAGGGTTAACTTATGGGTTTTATTATATTCTCGTCTCCTTGCCCTTAAAGGAAAGCAATGTAATTTTTTTTTTTTTTTTTTCTCTGTCCCTCATGCCTTCTTATCTGTACCGTTACACAACCTTTTCATGGTAACCTGCCGTTTTATTTACAATTTCGGTTCACTTTGATTTAATACTTTAATGTGTAGATTTCGAGTAAAGCAATCAGTTTTTACCCTGGATGTGTGTGCTTTATTTTCAGATGTATAAAAATCAAACCTTGGAACATTTCCTCTTATTGCTTTGGAACTTGAGTACCCACATGAAACACTACTGTACAATTATGTATAAAGCCATAGGTGAAAATTGTTTTTCATGAAGCAGCACTCAAAGGCTAAGGGGTTAGCTTTCTTGCCTTTCAGCCTGGGGCACCTGGGTGGAAATCCCACTAGTCACAATCTGCAGTGTTTGATAGGGTCTTGTGATTGGTTATTTTTACACTGTAAAGCAAATACAATGAACACTTGAATGATCTCTTGCCATACCATGGGTTCTGTGTGCTCCATTTTTGTTCACTATAGAACTCTTAAGGGAATATACACCCACTGGCCACTTTTTTAGGTACACCTGTTCAACTGCTCTTTAATGCAAATTTCTAATCAGCCAATTACATGGCAGCAACTCAATGCATTTAGGCATGTAGACACGGTCAAGACAATGTGCTGAAGTTCAAACCGAGCATTAGAACTGGGAAGAAAGGTGGTTTAAGTGACTCTGAACCTGGCGTGGTTGTTGGTGCCAGACGGGCTAGTCTGAATATTTCAGAAACTGCTGGTCGTCTGGGATTTTCGCACACAACCATCTCGGGTTTACAGAGAATGATCTGAAAAAGTATCCAGTGAGCGGCAGTTCTCTGAGTGAAATTGTCTTGATGATGCCAGAGGAGAATGGCCAGACTGGTTTGAGCTGATAGAAAGGCAACAGTAACTCGAATAACCCCTCGTTTCAACCTCATTGAACCTGGAGGCAGATGGGCTACAGCAACAGAAGACCACACCGTGTTCCACTCCTGTTGACTAAGAAAAAGAAAACTGCTACAATTCGCAGGGGCTCACCAAAATTGCGCAATAGAAGATTAGAAAATGCCTGGTCTGATGAGTCTCGGTTTCTGCTGCCACATTTGAATGGTTAAGTTAGAATCTGGCGTAAAAAACATGAAAGCGTGGATCCATCCTGACTTGTATCAACAGTTCAGGCTGATGGTGTTAGTGTAATGGAGTGGGGGATATTTTCACTTTGAGCCCCTTTAGTACCAACTGAGCAACTGTTTAAATGCCACGGCGTATTGTTGCCGACCATGTCGATCCCTTTATGATCACAGTGTACCCATCTTCTGACGACTACTTCCAGCAATATAACGAGGCATGTCACAAAGTTAAAATCACCTCAAAGTGGTTTCTTGAACATGATAATGAGGTCACTGTACTCCAATGGCCTCCACAGTCACCAGATCTCAATCCAGTATAGCACCGTTGGGATGTAGTGGAACAGGAGATTTACATCATGGATGTGCAGACGACAAATCTGCAGCAACTGTGTGATGTCAACATGGGCCAGACTCTCTGATGAATGTTTCTAGCACCTTGTTGAATCAATGCCATGAAGAATCAAGGCAGTTCTGAAGACAAAAAGGGGGTCCAACCCAGTACTAGCAAGGTGCACCTAATAAACTGAATGTGAATGTATGTGAAGACCTCAGAAAGGTAGGAAGGACTGCTAGTTGGTGAACATGTCATGGTGAAGACTGTGCAGTGATATCCAACAAAGCCAGCTAAAGAAATGTTTTAACGGTGTTCATACACAAATTAATAGAGGAGGACCTAAATTAAAAAGAGTTGTCATGGTGATAGACCAGAAAACTGGATAACATGCGGCAGAGAAAATGGCCTCCACAGTGGATTCTTGCTCTTATGGGAAACCTGCATGCAGATCTCACAGTTTTAAATTGAGAACCTGTGGGTGCAGCATTATAGTGAGACCTCACTATACTACCGTGTGTACATGCTCCACGAAGAGAGAATATATAATGTTCTACTATGCAGTGAAAGCCCTTCTGTCTTTTTGGACTTTTCGTGCTTGATAAAAACGTTAATTACAGTCTGTGATACTTTATTTGCAGTAATAGCGCAAATAATAAAATAAATCTTCAACAGTACTCAACTCTGCTCACAGTGCCTACAGATAAAGGTAATATACTTAAACAAATGACACATAACATTTATCATGGTGTATTCAGTCACAAAATCCAAATGAATGAAAATGCAGATTTGTCACGTGAAAAAAGTAAGTACACCCCAAACATTTACAACCATGTCAAATGCCTGAAATTAGAATCTGGTGTTCTAGATGAGGGAGTGGAATCCATTTTTATTTTATATCTAGGGTCTGGTCTTCTGCTTGCTATTGACGTGTGTGATGTCATCATTGTCAGAGCACAATGAAAACCAGACAAGCATACGGTGCTAGTTAAAATATTTATTAAGACAGTCTCCACAGGAGCAAGCAAGAATAATAAACCAGAACAAGCCAAAGTCAGGAGCCGGAATGGGTAGTCATCTAAGCTAGGTCAGGAACACAGAGATCAGCATCGTCCGCAACAAGCCAGGAAATCCACGTTGGGCAGGAAGGAGCCAGGAGCAGGATCCAGGAAATCAGCGTCGTCAGGAGCCAGAGGAGAACGTCAGCCAGGATTGGGTCATACACAGAATCAGAATGCACTAGCAGGAAGACCACGCAAGGGCAAGATCAGACTGGACTGAGTGGTTTATATATAGTGAGTGTGGTGACATCACTCAGAGACAGGAAACTCCCATCTGACTCTCTCAGATGATGCTCTCCTGTGTGGCCATAAGAGGGAGCCTGGAAGTAGTGAGCAACGTTCCAGATTCTGCCCGGGTAAAGGAGGAATCACAGGTGGATAAAATGGCAGCCAAGACAATGCTGAAAACCAGTTAAGTCATGGTGGAACCCTGACAATCATGCCAAGATCAAAATAGCTCTCGGAGGCCCTCAGAAAGAAGGTTGTGGATGCCTATGAGTCTGGCAAGGCCAAATTATCTGAAATCCATCATTCCAGTGTAAGGAAGATAATCTACATGTGGTATAGATTT